TGACTTTGAAAAATAAATCTGTTCTTTTTTTCTTATAAAAGACTAAATAAAACAAAAATATTGGTGGTAATTTCTGACTAACTTTACAAACAGCCCATAATAAGACCAAAAAAGACATTTACAACATTAGATCACCCAAAAGGACCAAAAATACCACAAACCCAGTGGCCATTCCTGTTAGCCATGATGGTTCCTACCCAATGGTTGTCCCAACCTGTTCCCACCTGTCCAGGTTTTTGGGGGTGGTCTTGAACAGGTTGAGCCTCTCAGACTTTCTGTGCAGCTTCAGGACCAAAGGTTTCTGGGCATTAAAGACTAAAAGCATTCAGGCTGGAGCGAGGATGTTTCTGACCCGGCCCAGCAGAATAATTTAGTAAAAAGTTGAACCATTCCTGTTTTGTGCTGCTGGACCTGAGTTCTGGTTCTAGTTTCTTTCTGTCTCATTGGAACAAGTTATAAAAGCTTTTAAGATCAGTCTTTGTCCTGTCTTCTGTCCTCTAAGTTTGAACGAATGTTTGACAAAATGACKGAAACTTTTGTAATGTTTGCTCCTCGTCCTGCAGAACCAACCCACCGAGGATCGGACAGGAACCAGAACCTTTTTCCTGGAGCAGCAGGTCTATAATGTTCCTGTGATCACAGAAACCTGTCTGAGTTAAACCCTGTCCCTCAGGACCTTGTTGACCCCAGCACAGCAGGAGGGTTTAGTCCAGAACTTCAGGAGGGTCCGAGTCTGGAGCACCTTTAGTGCCACAACTGGCATGAAGTACGACAGGCTGTTTGTCCACATAATCAAATGACACTTAACTCCAGCTTCTGTTTTACATGTGAATAATCATCTCTTTTGGTTACAATATTTAAATTTACTTGAAAAGAAAAGATTTTTACATTCAGAATAATAGAAATTAAAACATAAATTAAAAGTTCTGACAAGAAGAAATCTATTTATCAACAAAGAGTTAACAGATACTGGAGTCATTTCATTATATGATCAACTGCCTGCCGTACTTTGGTCCAGTGCATGACAGTTCAGCTTATTATCATTCTCTTCATTCGTAAACATTATTCAGATCATTTTTATTTAAATTAATAACTTTCAAAAATTCACTTCCTGTCAAATGTTTCACAATAAAAGTCCTAAAGGCTCAAATTCTGCACTTTTCCTGTGAAAAATTCAGGTTGTGAAACAGAAAAACAAAAGTTTCCCTTAGATTTAAACCCTTCACCACAGAGTGGAAACAGAAAGTTCAGTTTTCTGAGTTTAATTTCAAAACCAAAGAACCGGATCAGAACCTGACCCGGCAGAKTAAAGTCGAGTGGTCAGCCTTTGATCACAGCGACGGGTCGGAGTTTGATGGCCTTCTTGCTGATCCCAGCGTCGTGACACGTGTTCACCACGTCKGTCACGTTTTTGTACGATTCTGGAGCCTGAAAGGAAACAGAAACATTTGGTTCTGGTGGATTTGTTGGTTCTGGTGGGTCTGGGATTAGACTGCGACGGGCTCTTCCTCACCTCCTCCATCACCAGTTTGGGTGAAGCCACTCGGATGGCGATGCCCATGTCGGCCAGTTTGTCCAGAACGTCCTGGAAATCCAGGTTCCTGCGGGACTTGGCCCGGGACAGAGCCCGACCCTGAAACACACGAGCCGGACCCGTTCACAGACGCAACGGTTCTGAAAGGGTGGAAGCTGTGGGTTGGACTCGTACCGCTCCGTGGCAGGTGGTGCCGAACGTTTCCGTCATTCCCTGTTCAGTTCCTGTCAGAACGTAGCTGCAGGTTCCCATGGTTCCCCCGATCAGAACCGGCTGACCCGTGAGCTGCAGCGAGCAGAACAATCTGAGAATCATTAACCTGCTAATCTGTGGGGATTAGAGAGGATACCTGGTGGGATTAGAGGAGCATACCTTGTAATCAACATGGATTATAGAGGTGTACCTGATAATCTACAGGGATAGAATGGACATATCTGGTAATCTAAGGGGATTAGATGATGAACCTAGTAATCTACATGGACTGTACAAGGTAACCTTTACAAGGTCAATTTTGGGGATTAGAAAGGRGTACCTTATAATCTACAGAGATTATAATAATCAGCAGGGATTAGAGTGATATTTATGGTAATCAACAGGGATTTCAGAGGTTTAACTGGTAATTTACAGGCATTTAAGATGCGTACCTTGTAATCTGCAGGGATTAGAGTGGTTTACCTGGTAATCTACGGGGATTAGAGGGACACATAAGGTAATCTAAGGGCATTGAAGATGCATTCCTTGTAATCAACAGGGATTAGAGAGGATTACCTCATAATTCTACAGGGATTAGAGAGGATTACCTGATAATTCTACAGGGATTAGAGAGGATTACCTGATAATTCTACAGGGATTAGAGAGGTTTACCTGATAATTCTACAGGGATTAAAGAGGTTTACCTGATAATTCTACAGGGATTAAAGAGGTTTACCTGATAATTCTACAGGGATTAAAGAGGTTTACCTGATAATTCTACAGGGATTAAAGAGGTTTACCTGATAATTCTACAGGGATTATAGAGGTTTACCTGATAATTCTACAGGGATTATAGAGGTTTACCTGATAATTCTACAGGGATTATAGAGGTTTACCTGATAATTCTACAGGGATTATAGAGGTTTACCTGATAATTCTACAGGGATTATAGAGGTTTACCTGATAATTCTACAGGGATTATAGAGGTTTACCTGA